CCACCGCAGCCGCGCGGCCCGCTGGGACTGGAAGTCCGACCCGGAGCCGCAGCGGGCGCAGGCGCAGCGCGGTGGGCCGGTTCCTGTGGCGGAGGCCAGGAGCTGGGACTCAGAGCCCTCCCGAAGTTCTTTTCACAAGATTGAGCGTCAGTGCTGGGGATCGGACCTAAGTGGATACAGCGGACACTTGGTTCTCAGGCTAAGGCGGGGCTCAAAGGCCGGCGGAGGGCCCCTCGGCTTCCCTCACCACCGTGGGCCTGGCTGTGCACTTGGTACACTTGGTAGGGCAGGCCCAGGATTTAAAGGCCCTGACTTATGGGACACCACCCTTCCCTGTTGCATAAATGTGACAAAGGAGAAGAAGGAAGGAGACTAGAGCCCAGAAAAACCACTGAAAACTAGAAAGGCCTTTCCGTAGCATGGCCAGCCCCAGGGTCAGCTCCCAACAATGACCCCTTCTTGGATGATAAAGTCAGGACATTTCATCCGTGCCCTCATGTGGAGGCACAGGTCTCAACGGAAGCCGTGAATTCCAGGACCAGCACATCGGTCACCAAAATTTCAAAGAGTGAGGACCAAGTCAGCCCGCAGAGGGGTAATGATATGTGCTGTCCAGTACCTGGGACAAGGGACTGGGGCACACCTGAGAACCAGCTGTGAGGAATGATGTGTGTAGTGTCAAGGTGGACCCCAGGCAGCTCCAGTCAGTCTTGACCTCATGAGGCCATGGTCACCAGGCTTTCTGCCCTGGTGGCAGCTGTAGCCCCCTGCCTACCCCTTCCTGCTACCCTCCAGTCCTGCCTATGGCCCCTCCTCTAGGGAGAGCGCTAATTCTGAGGTTCAGCTTGGATTCCCGAGATTTCAGGCTGGAGGTCTCTGGACCACTGCCAGTCTCATACATTCAACAAAGTTACTGACTTGGTAAGCTTCGTTTTTACTTTCAGACTGCTTACAACTTTGCATAAAGGCCTCATTGGCATCTCAGAAACAGCACTCCACCTCCATGCACAGCACACTGAATTTTAATGTCCCCACTTTAGGGGAAGGGAGGTCACACTACCAACTTTTGGAGACACCCGAAAGCTTGTGTAGCACTTTGGTACAAAAAGGATTTGATCCAATCTTTTGCTGGCTTAGGATACTAAAAGGCACATAAAGTTAGTGGCTCCACCCCTCTGGGCTGGGGCCAGGCAGTAGGTAGGCAGGGAGGTGGTCTAGGATGGATGGGCAGAGCATGGGAGTGAGCTTCAGTTCTTGTTGACAGAGGTAGTTGGTTCTGGGTGGATGCTGAAGGGACCAAGGGCAGCCTGAGTGTTCAGGCTGGGTAGGTGCTGCTGCGGTGGCCTTCGTCTGCCCAGTCCACCAGCTCACTGCTCTCGAACCACAGCTGGATCTCCCTCTGGGCCCCCTCCACAGAGTCACTGGCATGGATGACATTCCTGTCCCAAATGAAAGGCAGCAGAGGTAGAGCACAGACTTCAGTGTGTACCTTCTTCAGTGTGCACCTTGGGGGTCCCAGGACAGTCTGCTGATCCCCTACTGTCTAGGGGAGCAAGTCAGGTGATTGTGTAGAGTGGAAAGGAAGAATAGGGGAGCTGGAAACCTGGATTCCAGCCTGGCCTCGGCTCCTTACCCACAACCTCAAGGACCAGCCCAGACCATGCGTCCTGTGCCAGCCCCCTGGAGTGTCTGGCAACACCGAGTGAGGTAACAGATGTGATGGCAGAGCACAAACACAACAAAAAGGGAATCCTTTATCGTCACCTATGTGCATGAAAGGATTTAAAAAATATTGCACTAGGAAATGTTAGGTGTATGTCCCACCATCAAAGTCTCTTCTGGCTTTACCTTCCCCCAGCAAGAGACCCAGGTCCAATAGATCTGCCTTAGGAGCAGGCTGCCACCCCAAACCCGGGCCCTCCTCAACCCCTAGTGAGCTAGCCCTCAGCTCCAAGTGCTGAGTGTACCAGGGCCCCAGTACCTGCTGATGTGGATGCTGAAGTCTCCCCGAATGGTGCCGGGGGCAGCCTCAGCTGAGTTAGTATGTCCTATCATGGCTCTCGAGGTGCAGACCACATTGGGGCCTTCCCAGACCTGCAGCACAAAGATAAAGGAGGGTGAGAGAGCTGGGAGAGGGTCATCAAGGGCTCAGCGGCTCTGGGCTCAGTACAGGGCCCTCTGCCCCTTCCACCACCCCTGCCACCATACCATGGCCACCACTGGGCCGGAGCTCATGTAGCTGATGAGGGCTGGGTAGAAGGGCTTCCTCTGCAGGTCGTGGTAGTGCTCAGCAAGGACGCTCTCTGATGCCTGGGTACATTAGGGGAGGAGTGAGAGGAGCCCCTGGAGAGGGAACCCCCAGACACTGGGGCTGTGACTGTGCTGTCCTGACCCAGATGGCCCTTTGCAGATGGCACTTACATGGGCTGGCACCTCCCCACCCCTCCCTTTCTGTTTCCAACACCAGCATACCGACTGTCCCAAAGCAGGGCTGAGATGTGAAGGGCTGAGGTCCATGAGAAGCCCTTCCACCCCAGTGCCTTCAGGGACACCCATAGGCCCGGCTGAAAGCCTTGGTACCTGCAGCATTTTCATCCCCACCAGCTTGAAGCCCCTCCTCTCAAAGCGCTGGATCACATCTCCGACGAGGCGCCGCTGCACCCCATCTGGCTTCACCGCAACCAGGGTCCGCTCCCGGGTCCAGGAGGGTCCTCCTTTAGAAGAGGGGGGTTCAGGGTTGCTGTAGCCACACCCTCTCAGGTCCTCCAGACCTGGTTCCCCTGCCAAGACCCAGGTGTCCTTTGGGCTTCAGCATGTCTGCCTCAACCAGAGCAGCTCTGGAGGGGAGAAGTGTGGTGCCCACAGCCAGGGCTGTCTGGCATGTTCTCAGTGACAATCACGGCAATCGGTCCTTCCATGGCAGTGGCAGATGCTGCCCATGAGGGAGGTGGTATCCCCTGAGAAGGCATCTATCTTAGCGAGCTTGGTGGGTTGGGGAGGCACAGTCCAGTTCAGTGGCCACCCAGAGTGCCAGAGATGCTGCACCAGAAAGTACAACTCATGGCCTGATTTTCACTCCTGTCCTTCGAGGTGCTAGCACACACTGCTGGAACCCCCAACCTGCCACATCAGGAGGGACCCCGTGCCTAACTTCTGGGTCTGAAGTGAAGGAATGGCAGGGAGACAATGAGAATGGAGTGCAGTTTTCCTACCAGGTTAGCCACAGACACAGGGACATAGTGACCTGGGGACTTAGGAGAAAGGTAGGGGGGGGGTCTTGTCTGCAGGTGGGGAGACTTGAGAGGGCTCCTTCTCTCACACCTTCGCTGGCCAGGGGGCTGTGGTGTTTCAAGGTGGAACACTTTCAGACCCAAGGTCAACTCTGAACTCTGCCCCAGCCTTCATCCTCCCCACAGGGAGACACTGCCAGAGAGCCCCAAGCCACTTCCAGAGTTACAATGACCCTTGGCATTGGGTCTAGGGTCAAGAGTGTTTTGAGAGGAACCCAGGCCCTGGATGTCTAGCAAGTAAGAAGGAGAGAACTGGAGGAGAAATGAGAAGTAGGGTCCAGGAGGGCCAGTGTCCCTGGGGGGCATGTGCAGCTGCCTTCCTATCCCCAGGAGGAAAATTAACCATAGCCTGTGTGGGGCCTGGAAGGCAGGCAGTAGGTGCCCACCACATCCCTTCAATTAAGCCTGCTGGAGGAAGCCCCCTTCCTTCATTCCCACAAAGCCCAGTGCTTGTGGTCCGCTGCCTCGCCTGGCCTGCTGCCAGCTGGCTCGTGCCTCAGACAGTGGCAGTTCACTCTTGCCAGCGTTTAGAACAACAGGACATCTGCAGATCGGGAAGGGCCTGAGGGCTCACAGCTAGGGCGGGAGGACCCTGCAGAAACCTGCAGGGCTCCAGGCGAGGATGTGCCAGGTGGAAAAACGCTCCAGGAGGAGTGTTCATCAGCTGAGAGTGACCACCCTCAGTAGCCCTGGGTTCCCTTGGACCCCCACTCATTATGGCCACCAGGCCTTTCTGGCTTCCTCCTGCTCAGGAGCCCTGAAGCCCCGCCTGACCCGAGCCCAGCTTTGGAGGTGAGCGGGGAAGTCGGGGGCGGGGAGATAGTGAGCCCGGCGGGGCTGGGGGTGGGGTGAAGGGTTGGAGGGAGTTTGGGGGTAGTTCGCGCAGGGCCTGGGCCCGGCGGGAAGCCGAAGGGCGTGCAGCTCTAGCCCTCTTGCTGCAAGGCCTCCGGCCCCCAGTCCCAGGGCCCGCACGTGCGCCAGCAAAGGCCGGCG